GTGTTATGCTGCGTTCCTGCATAGGCACTGCGCTGGTGTTTAGTGGGGCGCTCGATGGGGTGGGGCGCTCGATGGTGAACCACGTTACTTCTTACTACTACCATCTTTCTATTCTAATATTTATATAATATATAATATCTATCACCCTGTCATCTTAATAAGCTATAAACTATCATATTTTTAGGAAGAGTAAAGTTATATTGTCTTATTTCACTTTTTTCTAAAGCTAGCATCCTTGCGCTCGTTCTAGCATTGCCGCCGCGAATTAACTCAGACAGCACTCCCACCAAATCTCAGAGTCTCCAAAGCTGTAAGTTGTCCTTTTGCATCTTTAGCTACAGCTTAGAGCCCCCGAGCTGCATTATCCTACACGTGCTTATGTTCTGGTAGGCGTGCAAAGCCGTAGCGATTCAGAAGAGTTCTGGAAGAAACGGTCGGCATCACAAGACAAGCACGGAAATTTCGATCTGCGCAGTAGGGTCCTGGAGAGAGTATAGTAAAGAACAATATGTCTTTGGTAAAAAGCTAGTAAACTGTGAGGCAGAGAGATTATAAACCTGAATAGCAGAAATTTCCTGCCCACCATGTTTTCCGGGAAGCAAGGGGGGATGTTAGTAAATATAGTAAATATACTTAATAAGGTAGTAAGTACAAGAACATTGCAAGAACACAAAGGCTAATGGTGGATATAGCCGGTTTCTACTCAGTCACCGTCATATACCTTTCCCTCTTCTACACGCGCTTCGAATCCGGCACACGGCTCTCGTTGTTCTACGGTCACGCAGCGGTTGGCGGTGCTCTTGGGGGCCTTATAAGCTACCTTGTCTTCTCCCTCTCCGTGAACGATGATCAAGGATCCGACAACGACTGGCGACCGTGGCAGGTGCGTTTCTACTAGAAGGCACTCTCACCATCGTGGTGGCTTTCATCGGATACTTCTAGTTACCACACAGCGTAGAGACAGCCTGGTTCCTCACACCCGAGGAACGCCGATATGCTTCAGCCTGCGTCGTAAGAAACATGGACATACAGGACACGCTTGCAGTGGTCCAAGGAGACGATCGCGAGAGGGAGGATACCTACGACGAGGGACTTCAAGGACTACTCGCTTCGTCCAAACATTCGATTTCCACAATCACATCAGCGCGGCAGCTGGTCGATGATCGCGGTCTGAGTCCCCACGACATACTATCCGCAGTCTTCAACACCAAGGTATGACATACCCTACCTAGCCTGAAATGTACTATCTGCCGTCCCGGTCTATGCCTTCTCAGTCTTCCACCCGCTTGTACTGGCGCCGCTAACAGAGAACGCGAACCCTGCACTCATCAACTTGCTCACTGCGCTGCCACACATATGCGGAGCTATCGCTTTCTACTTCGCCGCTAGCTATAGCAAAGAGCATCGTATACGCCTCAAGCCAACCCTCCTCGGTCTACCCATCATGGTTACAGGCCTGATCATCGTGGTCCATCGGGTTGCCGACCATGGTATTATCGGACTGAACGTTCTGGTAACGTTCAAGTGGTTCGACAGGCTTCCAAGAGATCAAAGGGGGTGTTTCAGGGTGGATGAGCTTGAAGAACACAGTAGTGTACAGGCCCAAGCGTGGGAAGGTCGCTCACATCTCAATGAAAGCTTGCTACATGCAGCATAACTGCACCACCAGAGTTATAAGTACCGCCCTTGCGTAGAACGAAACGGCTTCAGACATCTCTATCGGTCTTCGAGTCATTGCCAATCCGACAATCTGGCATACAGGAGTCCTCTCTTCCAGCGTCTGTAAAAATACACATGGCCAACTGTAGCCAACGCAACAGACGCAAGCGTCCACCAAAAAGGCACAATATACCCAGCAGCAGCGTGCTTCGGTCGATGCCAGTGAGCGGTCCTATGCTAACTAGGGATGCGTAAGCAGCTTCATTGACGAAAAGACGCGTAATGACGGCCGGATTGCTTACGGCCATCTTGAGTAGAACTATACCATATGGGTCCTGTTACTTGTTGGGCAGGAGGAAGATACAATTACGTGCTGATCAGACGAGCGCCTTAGTAGACTCTCGAATACGCCATGTAGCTACAGGGGGTCTACAGTACAAGTGATAGCTGTCTCTTGAATTTCTCGCCCAGGACATCCGTTCGTTCTTCTAGCACTGGCGCTTCTTTGTTTTTCAGACGGCTACACCCTGACCGATATGGCTTCCTTCACCGTCTACAAGGGCTCCCCGGATGGCACGATTGTCAGGTCGCAGACCACCCGCCCCCCCTCTTAGATGACCAGATCTTCATTGAAGTCACCGCTTCCGGTCTCTGTGGCACCGATGAGCACTACAAAGTAACCGACATGGCTCTCGGCTACCAGGGTGTCGTTATCGTCAAGGGTGTCGGGCCCCAAGTCAAAGACCTCAAGAAGGGCCACCGCGTAGGTTGGGGCTACCAGCATGCCGCTTGCGGTCACTGTAATTCATATCTGATAGGCTGCGAGACGTACTGCCTTCAGCGCGTGATCTACGGCAAAGCTAACCTCGACCAAGGAAGCTTCGCTTCGCACGCAGTTTGGCGCGAGGCCTTTCTCTTCAGGCTGCCGGATGAGTTGACAGACGAAGAGGCTGCTCCCTTGATGTGCGCTGGGGCTGCGGTTTCCATGTATTGGATACTTACGGTGTCAAGTCCACCGACTGTGTCGGCATCATAGAGATGAGGGGCCTCGGCCACCTGGCTATCCAGTACGCCGCAAAGATGGGCTGCAACGTTGTCGTCTTCTCAGGTTCAGATGACAAAAGGAGCGAAGCGATGCAGCTAGGCGCCACCGAATTCATCACTACTGGAGGGAAGTCTGGAATGAGCGTGCGCCGTCTGGTAGATGCCCTCCTTGTTACTACCGCAGTACTTCCAGAGTGGACTACCCTGCTCCCGGCTCTCAACACCATGAAGATCTTCCCTTTGGCCGTGTCGCCAGACGACTTTAGGATTTCGAAAATGCTGTTGAATGCCAAGAGCATCACTGTGCAGGGCTCCATCATTGCTCCAAGGTCGGTGCAGAGGAACATGCTCATGTTCTCGGCCCAGCATAAAATCAAGCCGATTACTATGCTTTTTCCGATGACTGAGAGCGGGATTGAGGATGCTATGAGCAAGCTAAGGAATGGAAAGATGAGATATTGCGCTGTGCTCAAGCCACGGTAAAGGCGTGGTTCTCGGTAACCACCTTGTCAGAGTTGCTATCAGTCAATCAGTCAGTTGTCAGTTCATCTATGCGGCTCAAACTGTCAGTCCGGGAGTAGTAAACTGACCTGATTGACTGCCAAGACAGTTTTGGAGTCGCGAACTGAAACTGAACTGACTGTCAAGACCGCTATCTTCGTGTTGCACTGACTGATTGATTGCTATCTGATTGCTATAGTCAATAGTCGTATTTACTAAGATAATCTTGTACTGCGGCGATCTCAGCTATTGTATGCCCTCCTGCTGGTGTTTTAAGACCTAACTGCCGCCAGCTCTTTAAGCACTGCAGCGCGTTAAGCAACTCAGGCTTTATTTGCAGCCGCCGCGTGCCTAGCATGTCACCAAGCTCGCTGAACGTACGCTCACAATCAGCAGCTGAGGCTGGTATTGTAAGCACGTTGATAGCAAACTTAGCAAGCGTTGGGTACTGCTGCGTCTGTAATTGCCAGTACTTAAGCGGATTAAGAGCCATCGGATCGTCCTCTGCGATCGCTGGTAAGCGTTTCCACCGCTCGTACTCGTCGCCAAGATGCTCCTCTACCTGCTTAACAGCAGCGTCTAATTGCAACTTTAGAAAGGCAGATCGCGACGCTGTTGGACCAACAACACACACTCTCTTTGCCGGGCGCCTCTCATCGCTGTCGCTTGTCGCGCTGCCAACCACTGTTGCTTTTTGAAAGCCCTTCCACATCGCTATAAAAGCGCGATGATTGTTTGTAAGCCACCCATCGCGGTAGTGAGGGCCGTCGCGCTGCGTGTTATGATCATCAGGCACTTTCCATAGTGCCCCGAGATGGTGCTTATAGTGTGGGTGAAGCACTGTAGCAGCGTAGTAGACAGGCGCGTCGTCAAACTTTGAGTAGTACTGCGCTAGTTTCCTGTGAGCTAAGTTAACGTTAAGCATAAGGTGGTCTTCTGGCGCTAACGGATCATTATAATCAATATCCTTTAAGCGCTCTTTAAGCGCTTCGAGCTCGTTAAGTAGCCACTCAAAGGTAATCAAAACTTCCCATATTGCGCCGTGGCGGCCGTGTTTACCGCGTCCCTCTAGCAGCTTAGAGGCCTCTGCAAAGGGCGCCAGAAGCCTCATATACTCCGTAATTGTTGCCCAGTCGCCGGCGTTTAGGCCACCTTCACGCAGGAAAAGCCTAGGTTCCTGAAACACGCTATCGCTACCTCCAGGTCGCCGTGAGCGGCGAGCAATAACCTCGTTGTGGCGGCCCTCAGAAAGCTTATGCTCAACGTAGTTATCAAGCGGGCCTTGGAGCTCAACAGCGCGTGCAAAGGCAGCAAAGTAGGAGTTCCAGCACGTCTTAACTGGCCTAATCAGCTCTCGGAGGACGACAGGCTTACCCAGCGACTCAGCTTCAACTCTTTGGAGTTTCTGTAACAGCTCGCGCGACTGGGGCGTACAGATGGATGCGATAATATCAAATAGTACACCAATAGGGCCATATTGACGCCACTCTTTCATGAAAGCCTCCTCATCTTTAAGGCTGCTACCAGCGTTCTCGTATGCGTCGCGGTCTTTGCCCCATATGATAAGTTGAGCTCCAAGGTTGAGTATATGGCAGCAGCAGCGTAGACTCCGCTCAGAGGCGTCAAAGCCGTATATACCAGCCAGATGATGGACGGCAGTATCATTGTTGTATGCATTGTCAAGCACAAAATAGCCCACTGATGCCTTGTCCACCCCAGAGTTTGTTAGCGTTGTTGCAACAACAGCGCCAATATTATTACCACTGTGCTGCCCATGAAGCTCTGGCAAGCCCAGAACAAAGTCCTGCACAGCGCCCGCTGCGTCCATCAGATGTACGCAAATGCCCGTGAGTCCATGCTTGCCGCTGGTCGACGTCCAGTTATCGAAGGAGACATGAATAAGGGACCGCGCGCCGCTTAGGTAGCTTCGAACAGCAGGTATGTACGAGTGATACTCGGCAACAATCGCGTCGCGGAGAGACTGGTGGTTACGCCAAAGTACTGCCTCTGCCAACGGATTAGCAGCTCGAATTAACTGACGAAAGGTAGGCGTTTCAATAACGCGGAGGCTTTGGTTATCGGCAGCTATCCAGTCCTTTAGCGCGTCTTGAAACTTGCGCTTTGTAAATGACGATGATATCTCATTCGCAACCTCCTGCGACACCTCAACACCACTATCGCGCATGAGGCTGACGATTGAGCCCTGGTTAGGATCGCGGCTTCGTCGGAGAGGTCCTTGGGCACCAACGCTGTGGCCGGGCACACCTTTAGCTAGGTGAGTAGCTGCTGCTGACGTTGATCCAGCGTCGTACTCGCCCCCAAGTTTCTTGTGTATGTGGCAATAGAAACAGAGCCAGTAGTTACGATGTTTGATACGATGATATACTGGCCAGCCGTACTTGTATATCCAACTTGGGGCACCTCTAGCGTGCTCTTTCTGTCGCCTCTCTAGGTACGGGACCCGTGACCAGTCTAAGCCGTCAAAAGAAGTATCATCAGCCTCGTCTATGGCCTCGCTGATTGGCGCGTCAATTGATTGGCTAATGCGATCAAGCTCGGTGTTGTTGTCAACAGATGGCGTGACCGACGCGTTCGCAGGTGGATCTCCGTGTTTATCGCGCTCAACAAGTCGGCGGAGGCTCTGATTCGATTGCTGGGTCATATCAGCACCAAGAGAAACTGGTATAACCCGTAAGTAGGCGCGTCGATATATGGTAGCGTTGGCGTAGAGTTAGGATTTAGAGCGTTGCGCGATTGGGCTGCAACACTAAGGTTTGGCGCTAGCCGCTTACAGAAACTATATCAACAGCCTCACTAACAGCATCATCAACAGCCTAGAATAAGCCTCCGCAACACTATGTATCAATCTCATATCAGTCAATCCAGTCAGTTTAAGAGTTCGGAACTGAACTGACTGATAAGACGAAAGCTCCAAACTGACACTGAACTGACTGCCAAGCAATCAGTCAGTCAGTCAGTCTCATCAGTTTGGATTGATTGTTAGCAACTCTGCACCTTGTAGACCTTACAGATTTCGTACCTCCTTTGACGTGGCAAAGATGGCATAGCCAGCAATGATGAAAGGCATACCATATCCCACGCACTCTGTACATAACATCCTTTTCGCTGTCGCGACGTCGCCTGCTACGCTCTCGGCCACTGAGACAAGGTGTATGGAAGCCTGAGCGACACCCACAGAACGGTGACCTGTGTTTCTGCTGTCGGTTGGTGAGACATTTGTAAGGAATGCGTCAGGCTAGGTCTGACCTAAATCTCCTGGCCGCTCAGTTCTCGCGCCGTGGCTCTTTGACGAGGGTCAAGTAGTCACACTCCGAGACGCAGGATTGAAGACGACCGACGAAGTTTTCCCGCGCCAGAGGAACTCCATAGAACAGAAGTATAGTCAGTAAGACGCATAGATGTCGAGAGGCAGATTGTTCCCTCGTGGTGCAGCATGGGCACTTGACTCCACCTGGCTCGGCGAAGAACTGGCATGACAGACACCACTCGGGATCAAATCAT